GTGTGTGTGTGTGTGTGTGTGTGTGTGTGTGTGTGTGTGTCCCTGTGTGTCTGCTACAATGTCAGCCAAGATACTAACAGAGCTTTTATTCCAAGACTTGGTCCGCTGCCATCTCTTACCCCCCAAAGTCCGACCACAGAGGATGAATAAGTAAAAGGAGTAGCAGGACAGACGGAGACACGGAGAGGCCCCTTCTTCTTCTGCAAGGCGATACAGAGTTATGGACAGACGTGGGACGCATGCAGGGACACATAGACGTGATTCTGCAAAACGCTGGAGAAAAAATTGCCTCGAAGCGTGTAAATATATCCACGATCACCATAACGCATGCTCAAGAGACTGCCATTCCCCTGCCTCATCCCGCCGTCGCTGTAGCAACGCAAGTCTTTGAGGACATGGTGACGGCCAATCACAGGGGAGCGGCTGGAATGTGAAGAGACAGCACGCTGCAGATTACATGGATACAAAGAGGATATGAGATTGAGGAAGTTGCCCCGTTATGTGCAGCAATGAGCCACAGATTGGCCCCTCAGATCGCTGACATCTCTCTGCTTTAGCTACAAGTTGCTGTCGTGCACTTTTAGGATTCTCTATGCGCAGCCGGTCATGACCACGTTTCTTTCTCTCGTCGTCTTCCTCGCAAGTTATCTCTCACAGCTCTCTCTCTCTCTGTCTGTCTCTTTGTCTCTCTCTCTCTCTCTCTCTCTCTCTCTCTCTCTCTCTCTCTCTCTTCAGACAAAAGGCTCCATTGTATTTCCTGAGATGCTTTGGAGTCACGGGCACCAGCATGCTTGTGCACTGTCTTTGTTTGTGTGTCCCAGTTAGAGAACAGCTGTAACATTCAGCCATCACATGCCGCACAGCTGAGACCGACCGCCGCCGCCGTCTCTCGTCCGCGTCCTCCCTCCATCTTTGTCTCACTTTCCATCTCTCACAGACGACTCGGCCACAGGTTTCCCTCGGCCTGTTTCCTTTCTTCAATCAAAACTTCTCAGATTCTCCTCACACTCATGATCTCTCTCTTTTGCTTCGTTCTTCTCCCTTCCCACCTCGTCCTCTTTATCCAGACAGAGTGGGAGTAGAGGTCCCGGGCCAAACCCTTAACACATGGATTGAACTACATCTGAAGGATGGGGATCACATTGAAAACGTGATTCAGTCGGGGTTGGCCGATGGTTTCTATTTTCATATTGTCTAAACGAGTTTAAGATTTGATCGCCGGGGGGCGGCAGGAGTAAGAGGGGATGTGGGTGGGGGTTGGCAAAAGGAAACCACACAGCCTCTGTGCTGGCCAGGTAAACGATGCGAGCCAGGGAAGGACAATTGACAGAGCTTCGAAGGGATCAAACCTTTAAGCTTTCTGCAAACAACATAGTTAAAGTAACGAGAGCAAACGGTAAAGAAAAGACAGCAACCATTTCACAGCATCATGTCCCTTTTGACTGTAATATCTTATCCTTTATATTACAATCCATATCATATCTGTGACGATATAACTACTCTTACGTAACACAGAGCGACGTTCTGGTGAGCCGGCATGTGGAGAACAGAGGCGCTGGGTGTCAGATAGAAAAAAGAGACGGAGAACTGGTTTGTAGTGAAGTTAGTTTAAGATTCACTGGTGCTGATGTATGGGGCTCAGCGGGCGGACATATAGCTCCACCAGAAACCTCTCTAAATGCACAGTAGGGCTAATACTAGAGATTATTCTTATCTAACATCTGATAGCAAGTTAGTTCAAATCGCAATACCTAATATTGGCTTATTATCATCAATATACAGGCCTCCTTCCAGTGTGTGAATAAACTGTAGAGTACTATAGTTTCAACACGTTTGTGTTCACAGTCTGGATTCCTTTAACGTCTCCCCATCATAGAGGTGAGGGGGCAGGTCTTCTTTAAGTTATCACGTACCAGCTGCTCGTATACACGCAGACACCTGCTGCTGCTGCTCCACATTCAAATCACCTGAACTTGTCAGCGACAGGTGCTTATTACAATTTCCCATGAGGCAACACAACACAACAACAACAACCCTGGTGTAATAAATTTACTACTAATGCAAACAGCTGTGTTCTGCACATTAAGGGTTTTAAGAGAGTAGTGTGTGGTGCCCTCTTTATGTTCTCCATGCTTTGTAATTATATTGGTTATTAAATAAATAGCTACCCAGTACCAGTATTGCTACCCCGCTGGGCGGGGGCAATGCTTTTTTATCGACTTGATTTTTACACAAGAATATTCTTTCTTCTCCGATGAGTTATGTAACCTGAATTCATTTCTATTGGAACAGCGACCATCAATAAAGCTGAAGCGCACCGCACTACCAGAGATTCATGCTTGTAACCAAATGTTAAATAGACAACGTGGGCAATGCAACTGTTACTATTTTCACCTGAGAGACACACACACACACACACACACACATTTAGCAACAAGTGATGAGGAATTCCTCATCAGTCAACGCATTGTGTAAACCCTCCGTCTCTTGTCTCAGTAAGACACATTAGCAAACACCTGCACACACACACACACACACACACTACCTCTTTAGAAGATGTTGCAACCTGGCTGACAAGCAGACCCCCCTCCCCCCCTCACCCCGGGCCACTGATTTTTTGTTAAAAGCAAGCTCACCTCTAATGACCGGGTGGTCTCTCTATCTCTCTGTCTGTCTGTCAGTCAAACAACAAACAAAAGCTCCACCACTTATCACCTTGTCGGCATAAAGTCAGCTCTCATCCCTCTCGAAAAACAAACAAGTGTGCTGGCTGGCTGCCGGACTGGCGAAACAAAAATGCAGGAAGTGCTGGGTCACGTTTCAACTTGCTACTTTGGCCTCTAATGGCACACCTAGAAACTGTATGCAGGTGTCCCTAATGGTCAATAGGTCAGGGGAAAATACATTAAACATAATATTAGCCGGACAGGCCCCACCATATATTCTGATTCTGGTCTGTGTTACGACGATCACCAAAAAGAAACAAGTTTGATTCTAAATAACGGCTCCTTTAGTGATGATCGGTACAACTGCAATCAGCATGATAGTGTTTCCTTTTGTGTGTTTTCCCCATTTACTGAAATATGTTTAGCACAAACCTAAATTCTAGCACAGTAATTATTAAAGGAGGGTCCAGAGGCCACCAAGTGGGGTTTTTTTAGACTGGTGTGATGGGGGTGTCCAGAAGAAGAAGAAAAAAACATCTTCATCAAACATGTCTGATTACTGAAAGAGGTGGAGGTCAAAAGAGAGTGTTTAAGGATTGCTGAGGATAAGGTCATATTATTACAGACTATACACCTTGCCAGTCAAGCAAATAAACCACATGGTTAAAAATAAGAGTGTATTCAGGGTTTCATTATAATAATACAATTAATAGTAGTATCATAACCCGGATGTTGTGCGCTGGATGGTCCTGCGTTCTGATTGGCTAGCTCGTGTCCGAAGCTTTTACACAGCTAAATACGACTACTCCATGTCAGTTGATTTAAATTGAAGCACACGAAAATAACCATTCATCTATAAATAAACACAGTGGTAGCCCACTGGCCAGTAAAATTGTGTTTCTACCTCTGAGTTGTAGGTGCCGTCATCCTCCGCTCCCCGCGCCACGAGCGCACAGAGCCACAGCGCGAGGAAAGTCCGTCTCCAGAGCAACCAGACGCAGCTGTTCCGCGAGGTGGGAGCCATGGTCCGGGCGCGTGGGGTGGAATCAGTCGCCTTTCGTCGTGGTTCTATCTCGTCTTCAACGAGTTGTACTCGCAGTATTGGTAGTTGTAAGCGTTAAAAGCCCTAATAAAAATAACTATTGTAAAGTACTCCCTAGAAAGAATGTTACGATAAGTTTTCAACAGTGCGCGAGCGTCCAGGAAAAGAGCTCCATGCCAGTTTTACAGTGAGAGCCGCACTACAAACTGAGCTGAGTTCGCTCATGTGTGAGCCTCCAAGCGCGCACTGTCTCACTTTTCTTCACGTAGCCTACTGTTATCTAGCGGGTTACCCACTAGTGAATCAATTACTAACATGTTCGAATGTCGTGACAATGCCTGTTGGTGTGCAGTTAAAAGTCCACCCTGAGGAAGTTGCAAACTTTAGCCTAAAAGCAGCGACCAAATGATGAGCCCAAAGTTGACCGACTCCTTCGGCAGAAGCTTCGCGCAGTGTCGTTGCTGTAAGCGAACGCGGCTGTTTTAGCTCGCGACCTTTCTTGTAAAACAATATACATATATATATATGACTTGCCTTCTACGTCCAGCTTTCCCTTTCCCCAGAGGAAGCCGATACTTAGCTCTAGTTGCTATCTGTCATATCCCGGTTCAGTGGCTCCGTGTGTTGTCTCCCTACCGGAGCAGGGCGGACTGCGGCTCCGCAGCTCGTGGTGTTTCGGCACCTTTTACGAACGTTGGGATGCCAGCGTCAAGTGTGACGGTACGGCAACGAGGTGTCCCTGTCATGACCTTCACAATAAAAGGCAGAGTAGCCCGACTCTTCCTGGCGGACCTGATTGTAATGGAAATGAAAAACAGAATGAGGGGAAACTAATGCAGAACCCCCTCAAAAAAATACCGAACATGATATTTTCTCTTCTCAATTATTGTTTTATCAACATCACAGTTTAAAATGTTGAAAAGTTCGAGGGAGCTTATGGAACAGATATATTATTAGCTAAATGAATCACTGTGGTAATATTTGACACAGCCAGTCAGTGTGACTGCAAACCGCAGGCTTTTGTTTTATAGTTAAATAATTAAAAAATAAAAGTTTCTTCGCAGGTGTGATTACGTTTTGACTCTTATTTTGAAGGCAAATCGTTTCCGGCAATGTATTGTCTTTCGGTGTCCGACTTGATGGAGCTGACCAACTACAATGTGCTATCAACCGGACGGATGGAGGTGGAAGTGGGGATGGAGCAAAGAAAGAGCCCGAGGCGGACGTCAGCCCCCCCCCCCCCACACACACACACACAATGTCAATATCACAGGAAGTAGGCTACTGATGAGTCGTGAGATTTTAAACCACCATTATGTGTGATAAACTAATTGCAAACTCACTGTATATTAATCAATATGAGAATGTTGTTACTGTAAGTTTCATTCACTTTATGTTTGCAACGGCATCTTTCCTATGCCTGTTCTGCTCTTTGCGCAAATGTTGCTTTGAAATACTTATTAGAAATAATGTAGCCCTGCTTTCTTTAGAATTAATAATAATAATAATAACATTCCCGTGCAGTCCGCATGCGCCCAGGTGAGAAAGAAGCACCTGACATCGCTGCAGGGGGGTTAACAGGAGAGCAGAGAATGATCCCAGTTCCTCAGGCAGTCCCTGTCCTTTGCACCCTCTCTGAGACCGTGGAGAGACATGTCTACACAATGAGATCCCTATCAGGGGATCTGATCCAAGGCAAAAAGGAAGTAGCTATTTGTCAAATGGGCATCTAGAACTACAAATCGTATCCACAGCAGCTTATTGTTATTGAGTAAGGAGTCACACAAAAAAAAGATTAAAGAAGGCGAGCGAGAGGGTGATACATGATGGGTCCATGCGGTCTGAAGCCATCGGAATACCAGGAGATATACGTTTTGAAGTCATTCTTTTAGTACAGTTCACTGTGCACTGTTGCTTAGCAGGGAGGTCTGTCTGAAAGGGTTTACTTATCTTTGTGGCCTGGGGTCAATACACAGTCTCTCTAACACACACAGAGGTCTTTGCTAAGCCCCCCCTTAAGCTCTTCTCAATATTTGAGCCTCAGTTCATGTGGTGGATTACAGTGTTTCTCAGCGAGTGTTTTAAAAGTTTGTACAAATGAAAACAAAAAACTGACATTTCTCAAGCCATTCCACTTGGGATGGAGGAAAAAAGCAGCAGAACAAGCAAACATTTTGCCAAAAGTGCAGAGCGTGTGCTCCTTGGAAATCCCCATTGTATAATGTATGGCCTTTTTGCTGACGATACAAAAAAAAACTACATTAACTGACAAATAAAGAGTGTGTTTTAATCACCCAGGCTTTTCCAGTTAGTCACGAGGATCAGCACCTGCATGCGTGTGAGTCATATCGCTTCACTGGTCTCTTTGTATCCAGGTGAGCAGTGTATGATGCGTTTGTCTCAGGTAGGGATCAAACCCCCAGAGGCTAACATCAGTCAGCCCTCACATACCACGGATCTCAACTGTCTTGGCATCAACCAAGCAAACATGGGGAAATCCCCATCCTGATAGATTTTTGTAGCGTTTGTATTGCGTTGTTTTTCTATAAGCAAACATTGATATTTGTCTCCCAATAACCAGTAGCGTTCCAATAACTATCACCGTTGTATTTATTGCATGGATTACCTTTCAGTATTATGTTAGAGATATGCTGCAATCAGAAGGCTATATTTTCCTAAACTATTGTAAATTAATTCAGTAATGCAATACATAAATAAACATGCCTTTATTTACTCTACACTTGTGTTACAGCTACAGATAAATGCAACAGCGCTAGTCCACCCTGTCTTTTGCATTTGGCCACAAATTCCCATCCACATCACACCTTACGTTCTCCTTACATCCTCTCTTGTCCCCCCTTTTCTCACCCAGGGCACTGTGAGGAAAGTCTTCCACAGACGTCACACAAGAATGAAAAAAGGCACTCTCGTGTTGTATGGTACTATTTAAAGTTGTAATGTCTTGGAAGGTAGCAAATCACAGTCTATTTTACAATCATCTTGTGTTATGTCGTTGTCATTTTGTGTTATTAAAATGCTAAATGGACCGTAAATACATTACCTACAGTTTTGGTGGATGAGTTTGAGTGAGAAAACCATTCATGAAATTTGAAAGATGTGGTCAATGAAAAAGTTATTCACTGTTGTGTCGACTGCGTAAAAATGTTTGAAAAGTAAACGTAGAAGGCTAATGAGAAATGTGTGTAACCAGTTGCAATGTGCTCTTTCATGTTTCCTTTTGTTTTGTTCTATTCTTTTCTGATCAAGACTAGTCTAGTCTGTTTTGTCGGCACTATGCTGCACTGGCCACCTGGTAGAAAGGCCACCTGCATGCCCATCCAGTAAACTTGCTAATGGATAAAGCATAATGTGTAACACACACACATACACACACAGCCATGGAAAGCATGCACACCCCAATAAACACATTATGTCTCAAGAATTAAACAGGTGGCCTCAGGTTCCTATGATTACAATACCAGCTCCTAACACCAAACACCATCTCTTCCTCCTCAAGTGAAATGCTCCTGACAGCTATGAAGCTCCAAAGTGTTCAATATTCAATAAATCATTAAAAATTATGAAATGAATAATCATATGAATACATTGTGGAAAATACGTGAGCGCAACAAATGACCCGTGAAATAATTGTCTCCTTATTTGATGATAGCATCACTTTTTATTTCATCATATCACTTTTCATGATCTTTTAGCCAATCCCCCGCTCCTCAGCTAGCAAGCTCAGCAACTGCTAACAGAATTAACCAGTTAGCACGTGTTAGCTGGAGCAACGACAATGTCAAAGTCATTTTGACTCAATAAGCTGCTGTTGTAATTAAACACAGTACACACACAGAGACATGGAAGCTGACATATTTTATAAACCACACATGGCTGATTTAGAATAGCTTTAGCATATTTGGTGCGCTCGCTAACAGGAGCTAACTGGCTACATTTGGTAGCAGTTCCGTCCAAGCCTTCAGGAAAAGAGGCAGATGGAACTGATTGGCTGAAAGGTGTGACAGTGGTGACAACACTGTCATGAGAGGTGACGTTGTGAGAAATATCATTATTAAAAGTGGTGTTATGAAAATGAGACTTGACATGTGGTGTGTTATCGGGGGGAAATGGCTGAATGAAACAAACTTTTGAAAGAATGCATTGGGAAATGGAAATGTCTACAATGAAATAATGAATACATCAATGAATCATGAAATATTTGATAGTAATGAATTGAGTATTAATGATGGATGATCAGTAATTGTTCATTCATTGATATATCTTTTACACAATTTAGTCATATAATTATTCTTTTTTGATTTAGTAAATTTTGAATATATAATTTTGGGATTCCACAAGTGAGTTTCTATTCTAAATGGTGCAAATAAAAGGTTAATGCATGCTTTTGGGTTTTTCATATGCTCCATTGAATGTCACATACGAGAGATAGAAAGTATGGGAATGACAGCATGACTGGACATGCAGATGCAGGTTTTCATTTGAAATGCTAACTTCTCGATCACGCTGTCAGGAAAGACTCTATTTAAATATTTGTTCAAGTTATACATGTTTTGCACTTCGCAACATATACAAATTGGAGGATTTAATGCTTGGTTCCAACTCTCAACGCCTCGTTTGACTTGTTTCTTGATGTGCTACTCCCCTCTTCTGGTGGGAGTAGGGATATACAACCACAAACTAAGTGAAGTGCAGCATACAGTATATTAACCAATCAACTGCTATGTTCACGTTAAACCAGCTTCTAAAAAGTTAGTGCTTGATGTGTATACAGAGAGTAAGTGCAGTGTTTAAGGCCCATATTCATTGGTGACAGTGTTAACATACACAAGGAAATGTTCTCAATAGTGAAAGATATCTGTTTGTATTGTCATATGAGCAGGCTTGATAGAGTTAATGCAGGTACTGTGTGATGGACAAAGAGAACAGACAATAAGAGATGCTGAAATTGACATATAAAGTGTCAATAAAGTTGTATTTTGGAAAGAGTTCCACTGAGCAGAACTGATGCCCCACTGTGTTTAATTCCTCCGTAATTATATTCGGGTTAGTACTGGGTATACACGCCAGAATCGCTGAGCAATTTACATAACAGACAGAAGCAAGCAACACAATAGATGTTTTTAGCTTTCTGACTGCTGCTGCTTCCTCTTTTTATTTCAATGTCATTTACATGTTTTGTTTTTTCGACACTTCCCATGAAGCTCTATGACTTCAGCAGGTTTCCTCACTTGCTTTTGTGCTGTTGTCACATCAGCTGTACTCTGCGTCTTCAGACAAAATTATTTGTACACTCAGCAACATAAAAAAGGTAGGCTATGTTTAGATTTGCTATCTATTTGATGCTGATATTAGGCCTAAGTAATATGTATCGGTTACTTAACTAACTGTATTGAAATTAATGTAAACATACTTGTTGTAGTAACAGTTAAGATCAATGAATATGGTGGAAGATTGTGTTTTCCTCTGTGTCTGTGTGTAAGGCTTAAATACATGACATGATGTTCATTTTCTGACCATACATATATGACATATGTCTGTTTTTTTTCTCTAAATGAATCCTCTTCACAGGATGGAGTGGTGGCTCCTCTGTTGGCTGGTCCTGTTCACATCGGGTCACAAACACGATTCAGGTCGCAGTGCCGAACGCGATTCAGGTCGCAGTGCCGAAGGCGATTCAGGTCGCAGTGCCGAAGGCGATTCAGGTCGCAGTGCCAAAGACGATTCAGATCACAGTGCCGAACGCAATTCAGGTCGCAGTGCCGAAGGCGATTCAGGTCGCAGTGCCAAAGACGATTCAGATCACAGTGCCGAACGCAATTCAGGTCGCAGTGCCAAAGGCAATTCAGGTCGCAGTGCCGAAGACGATTCAGATCACAGTGCCGAACGCAATTCAGGTCGCAGTGCCAAAGGCGATTCAGGTCGCAGTGCCGAAGGCGATTCAGGTCGCAGTGCCGAAGGCGATTCAGGTCGCAGTGCCGAAGGCGATTCAGATCGCAGTGCCGAAGGCGATTCAGGTCGCAGTGCCAAAGGCGATTCAGGTCGCAGTGCCAAAGGCGATTCAGGTCGCTGTGCCAAAGGCGATTCAGGTCGCAGTGCCGAAGGCGATTCAGGTCGCTGTGCCGAAGGTGATTCAGGTCATTGTGGCAAACGAGGTTCAAGACGAGGTGAGATATTACAATATATGTTTTTTTATTAAATATACTATTTGTGTATATCTTGAATTTTAATAAATTATTTGTTTACTCTACAGGTGTTAAGAACTCCAAAATTTGTTTGGAAGAAACAAACAACATTCTTAAAAATGGAAACCCCAGGGACGCTATCAAGTAAACATTTTAATGGTGTAGAAAAGAATGCATGTTATATCTGTTTGTTCTTGTTTGTGTGAGCATCTGTGTTTGTTTCAGTATTTCACCAGATTTGTACATGGGTGGAAGAAACGGGGCAATATGAAGAATTTGCAAAGGGTTTGGGTTAAGGCATGCAGTGGTTCAGAATTAATTATTTGGTTTAAGGAAAAGAGTGATAAATGAGAATGTTGTACATGTTTGTAATTTCCTGTCCTTTTCCACAAGAGCCATGGAGAACCTAGAACAGGTTCTAAAGGAAACAGAGGTGAATGGTACTCCAGCCTTCACCCAGAGCCGTTATTTGGTCCTCCTGCACAAACCCAATGGCCCCTTCAAAGGCCTTGAAATACATGCTAGTGACACAGAGGTAAGGATGCAAGTAGCATAGCCCTAGGGATGGCAATATCCAGACTGAAATATCTCCCTCAGTAAACACTGTAAACATGAGTTTATGGTCTCAATCGCTAGTTTCAAGTCTTCTTCAATACAGCATGATGTTCATTTAGTAAATTATGGTCCATTTAGAGTCAAACAGAGTCAGACCATAAAGCAGAGTATGCTTGAGGGCGGGGCTACAGTGTTATTGACAGGTCGCTACCACAGCGTTTTATTTGTAACCTTTTTGGTTGCTCAAAATGTCTTGTTTAGCATTCTGTGATACTTAACTCCCCCCTCTCATGTCACTTCTGGTTGCAAAAAAACAAGATGGCGGCGGCCAAAATGCAAAACTGGAGGCTTTAAAATGGCAGTGCACTAATATGCAACTAATATGCTACGTTACGGTGTCTCCGTCCACTTCTTATACACAGGGCAATGCAACTTCTTATCTTATTTTTTACGGTGTTGAGTATGTCAATGTGTTCTCATTGACAATCACTAATACTCGTTGTAAATCAATGACTAATTATTATCAGGATCCATTTAAAATGTTTGCAATCAGTAGTGAGTTACCCTTCCAGGAGAAAGACATTATGTTATGCGGTGTGCTTTTTTTCATGATAATTACAAGACCCCTCAAATGCTCTCCTCTGCGTCAATCCCCCCACAGGAAGGTCATGGGTCAGTGTCAGCCTCACAAACCCAGATTGGTAGTGAGCATGTATACTGCGTTGAGCCAGCATTGTTTGAAAATGTAAAGTCTGTCCCTGCTGGTGCGATAAGGTACCAATGTATATGTGGGAGTTACATTGTTCTGTTACAAGTATTATCATGGAGGGTTTCCCTGTTTTTGTTTCTGTGCCTCTGATATAGATAATGGCAGACAGGGCTGTCAACAACAGCAAAGTGAGGGTCCGACTGCCGAAAGAGTTGGATGCCGGATCAAATAACACCATTGTGTTCTGCATGCTTACCTGGTCTGAAGCAAACGAGGTCAGAGACTAGACTTTATAGGAGACAATCTGGGGATATAATCATTTTGTATTGTGTTTACATTGTACATTTAAATTAAAGGACCACTCCTGATTCTGCATGTTTCAGCCCAATTAAGATTATTGGTCTAATGAATAAAGCTCAGTGCAGGGCAACACTTATTAAGTGAAAACCAAGGGACCCAAATTATCCATAAGTCTTTGCACAGCTACTCCCTTGGTTCAACTTTGACCTGCAGTTCATGCCATACTTGTGAGTGCCTGCAGTTCTGGAGTACAGTGGAAACTTAAAGTGAACATTTCATGCATGTCCATCATTGTTATCATGCTCATATTAAGAAATAGTTGATTATTGGGTTTTATTGGGATTTATTAAGAAGCAGCCCAATCTCTTGTTTAAGTTAGATAACACACAACGTATATTGAGCTATTGAGTAAAATTATGTTATCATAACAAATTGCAAAAATGGCTAGAAGTATTTTAATACTAGACTCAGGTTGTGAAGACATATCTTTTTGTATACATGTCATATAACGGCCCATTTTTGCTGCATTCGAGGCAGCCATTGGTACTCCGTTAAAAAACAATTTACAGAGACTGCAGGTAATCACCTTGTTGTCCTGACATTTTTGGAAAAAATAAATTCCTATAGCACCTTTAGGAATACGTTTTGTTGCCATTACGAGCTGAGTGATTCAGGAAGTGGAGTGGGTGTGCCTCATAGAGGGGTGAACACGGTTTGGGATTAGTTGATAAAAAGAGGAACACTTGCTACAACGTTGCAAAACGTCCTTCATGGCCGCTATGTGTTCAATGTTGAGACCCCCAGCAACTCATTTTAACTGCAGGAGGACAAACTGTGTCAAGTTAAGTGAGATGAATACGGCACAGGTTCGTTCTGATAAGATGACCAGCATTGCTGTATTTCAATAATTACATTTTTTCAAATCGTACTAAGCTAGTAAAGCTACTACAACAACTCTACATTACATTTCTGGGAACATTTGCTGTTCGATGTTCAGCCTGGTTTTAATTGTTGCTTCTTTGGGCCAAATTTAGATAATATGGCATTAAGAGAGGGCACCTAGAGCTGCTTTTAAATATAACTGGAAAACATGTTGTAGTGATGAACTACAGGTGTGGCTTTCAAAAAAGTCTGATAAACACACTGGCAGAAATCCTACACAAAAAGAGGAAGAGATGTGCATTCCTGACAAAATACAATATCCTCAAATGACAGCAAATCACATGAAGGTAATGAACGACCGTCACTTTTTTTTTTTTCTGAAGTAGAAGTAGTTGCGCTTTTGCTCTTCACTATTGCCCTCTGCAGTAACATGCAAACCATAATTGGTTTTAGTAAGCTTTGAGGAAGCAAAGTCTGTACACCGATACTGATAGACTGATAATACCAAGCAGCAAGAGGATTCAGTAGAGTGATCACATTTGAATTGTCTTGTATAAACTAACTGAGTGACTGTATGTTGACCATGTAGACCGCATTGGGAGGTGTATTATATGAGAACAGACTGGTTGGCCTGAGTGTGCAGGGCAAGAATGTGTCAGGACTGCAGGAGCGTGTCACCATCACAGTGAATCTTCATGTAAATGTAACTACAACTTCCTTCCATTTGTATCTTCAGCCCAACAAAAGTAAAACATTTGAACATACGGACAACGTAAACCCTAATGTAAAGCTAGTATATTGTTGTGTCACAGGATACCCAAGAGCCCAGATGTGTGTTCTTGGACGTTTCAACAGAGAGTGAGTACGAATAAATTTGTTTTTTTGTTATGAGGTTTATGAGTTGTATTCATTGCGGCCGGTTGGGTACTCACGCATGTTATCCAAATGCGTCTGGATTATGTGCATAATGGATCTGTCGGTATGTTGTTGTTTTATCGTCAGGATTTAGCAGCGATGGCTGCGAAACCCAGTGGAAGCGGGGTCAGAGCATCGTCACCTGCTGCTGTGATCACCTCACATACTTCGGCATGCTCATGGTAGGCTGGACCTTCTTTGCCTTACGAGGAACAATTGCATAGAGACAACCAAGTTAATTGAGACTGCATATTCACAGCACAGCAGCGAACAACTGGGCCATGAATCCATGAAATCTTTTAAAAGCAGGTGTAGCTGTGAGAAGCACTACATACAGTGGAAAGCCTTTTAGCACGGCCTCCCCGACTACATGGCCACCACGGCTTGCCGAACATTTCCCTCAAAGTTACATTGAAGTGAATCTTGACACTCGGCATTGCTGCCTGTTTTAGAGTCATTCTTGACGCTACCGCTAATTGGCACAAAAGTTACAAAAAACAAACAAATCAAACTCTTTAACTAAAAATGGCGAGCGCACGAGGTACAGATACAAGTCAAATAAGTTATTATCAGCAAAGTGTCCTGATATATTGACATATCTCATGCAGAAGTAGTCTTTATGCACAAGTTTTTTTTTACAATTCTATTCGTTAGAATTAGATTATAGATATTTTATTATCATTGATTCATTAACACAATGATGAAATAACACAAGGTGCTGTTAATAAAGCTGAGAGTAATTTCCTTTGTAACAATGTAACTTCATTTATAAATTTATCATACTGTATGAAAATCCTAATCTTCTCTATCAAATAAAGGTAATGAAGTAAAAAGAGAAAATGTCCCGTGCCTTCCCTCCTCAGGTGTCTTCTCCTGACCTCCCACCTGAACACCAGGAGATTCTGACATACATCACTCTGATTGGCTGCAGTCTGTCTCTTTTTGCCCTGGTCATCACCGTTCTGCTCTTCATCACAAATAGGTAATTTATTCTCCTCAGATTTACCTTCAATCTATCCTCTCACGTATTGTTGAGAACAGCAGCGTCCTGTTCTGTCCTTGCTCCCTTCACTTGCTCTCTTCTTCTGCCCTTGTTTGACTTTTTCTTGCTGTACTGCCTTAATGCCTCTCTCCATGTTTTGCCTGATTTGTTTCCTCTCTTCTTTCTATTAGTTTAAAATGCAACGTGCTTTGCCTTTGCTATCATCACATTCGGTCTCGCCTTAAGTGAAATCTGCACATGATTTAACACTCACAATGGATCGATTCTCCTCTGTCTGACAGAAAGGTCAGAGCAGATGTCTCCATGAAGGTCCACATCAACCTGGCCATTGCCCTGATTTTCCTCAACCTGCACCTCCTCCCCAGCCAGTGGGTGGCAACGCTGTCCTCCACCGGGTTTTGCCTCTACATGGCTCTCTCTCTTCACTACTTCTTGCTGGCCACTTTCAGCTGGATGGCCCTGGAGGGGTTCCACCTGTACCTTCTCCTCGTCCGAGTCTTCAACATCTACATCAGGAGATACCTGCTCAAACTCAGCGTGCTGGGATGGGGTGAGTGGAGTCACCAAGGCCAGTCAACAAATGCAGCAGTGGTGGAAGAAGTACTCACATCTTGTGCTTAAGTAGAAGTAGCAATACCACATTGCAGAAATACTTGGTTACAGTTAAAAGTCCTGCATTTTGCTTAAATAAAAGTAAATTTACTATTAAAAGTAATAGCATCAAAATGTACTTAAAGTACCAAAGGTAAGAGTACTTATTATGCAGAATGGCTTATTTCAGAATTAATAAAGATGGCAGCTAAGCTAGCAGTATATATAGTAAAAAAAAATAAAAAATTATATATATATATATATATATGGCTTAGCTGCCATCTTTATCCATAGTAATACATCAAAATGTATTTGTTGATTATGTTTTGTCTCAAGAATCTGAATCTGCAAACTAACTAAAGTTATCAAATAAATATAAAAGTGGAGTAAAACGTAAAATACTTGCCTCTCAAATGGAATAGAAGTATAGAGTAGCATGAAATGCAAACACTCAAGTAAAGTATAAGTACTTCAAGATTGTACTAAAGTACAGTACTTATTGAGTAATTATACTTAGTTACTTTCCATCCCTGCCCCTTCAGTGAAGGCCTCGTTGCCTGGATTCATCCTTGTGTTTCAGGGGTCCCTGCAGTCATCGTGTCCGTGGTGGTCGCCATCGACAGAGGCTTCTATGGACGCGTCTCTCTGGACTCGTCTAACCCCAACAGCACCGAAGTGTAAGGGAAAAGCAGGAAATACATTTGCAAGCATGTACAATCTAGACTAATAATTAACAGACATTTATTAGGTGTTTTGCATGTGCATCGGCCATCCTGTGTATTTCAGTGTATTTGGGAAATGGTGCACAAACCGCATTCACAATAACAGCTGATGTTATAAATGAAAGGGAGGAACAGCTGTACTGATATACTCTGTGTGACGAACAGAAAATAATCTATTGGCTTAAGTACATATTTACTTACATATTGTTGAATCTTTAGTCACCTGAATTGACGTATTTATTACAGAACTCCTGTTGGATTTCTTTAGCGTACGAGATAAAATCCTTGTCGTGCCCTCTGTCTCTTTGTAGATGCTATATAGTCAACACCACGGTGAAGATGGTGACTACAGTGGGAGCGTTTGGCCTGGTGTTCGTCTTCAACATGATCATGTTGGTGGTGACAGTCAGACACATCGTGGGATTCCGCCAGAGCGGAGAGGTTCGAGTCAATCTGCACTCTTTGCATTCAAATATTGTCCGTGTATTCACTTATTAAGAGCCATAGAGCTCCATTGTTGTCCAACGGGTTGGAAAGTATTCATAGGCAGACTTACACGCTGTTTGTTTTGGTCTTCTCGTGGGATTTGTAGACAACAAGGAAAATGTAGAACATCATCGGTCTTATTCTTTATCTTTTATTCATACATTTGATTAAAACTCATTCCAGTCCACGCCGTCTCCACCCAGCCGTATAAGTGAACTACTGCCTCTCGTAGGAAGCACTCAAAATGGTGATGACGCAATACGACTCCCGAGAGCAAAGCTTTTTAAATAAACTGAAGAAGATCAAATCTGCCTCCATTCAGGAGGAGTTTTCTACACTCGTGTTGTTGCCACAATACCAGACAACAACATACATGTCACAGTCTCTAACTTAGTAGTTTCTGAACGTCTATGACCTGCTAATGTGTCAATTTTTACACAATATTTCTGCATGTCAGTTTGGGCAGAGCGACGGTAACAGAGCCAAGCGAGGCGCCTGTACCCTGCTGGGAGTCACCACTCTGCTTGGCATCACCTGGGGCCTGGTCTTCTTCTCGTTTGGCTACCTAACCACTCCGGGCCTCTACCTCTTCTGCATCCTGAACCCACTGCAAGGTCTGCACAGCCTGCTTCCTTTTGTTCAGCTGTATGCTATATGGTCATGATGCTATACTGTAAAAATGAGAGAAAGGCTTATTGGCTGCATATTTCAGTGACACTTCTTGTTTATGCGGAGTTGATCCTCTGGGTTCAGCACAACAACAGTGTAGAAAGCTGAACATTGCTTTATAGTCTTTATAATACATATATTTTTTTCACTTGATGAACTTCGCACAAAGATGTTTACATCAAAAACCTAATGACAGTATAAATAATATTTTCCACTCTCACTGATTCAAATCGTTTTGCCAACTTCAGTCCTGATCATAGCGACATTAGATGAATCCATTTTTAGAATTGTAACCCTTTAAAGGCCAGTTTGCGTGTATAATAGCGCTGTTGTTATGAAAAATTAAATTATTTTCTCAAGATTAAATGCTATGGGGATTTTTTTTTCACATTGATTTTGATGCATTTGTCTGTCAGATTAAACAATAAATTGATTTTTTTTAAGCTCCCACTGGTTATCTTAGTAGGCAAAAATGTCAAATGTCCCCCTCCTAAAACTGCCATAAAAATACGATGTTAATATTATTTTCCACTTTCACTGAGTTAAATCTTTTAACCAACATCAGTCCTGATCATGACTACAACATATGGATTCATTTAATTAACACTTTAAACGCCAGTTTGTTTACACAATTGCACTGTTGTGAAAAAAAAAAAGAAACAGCATTTTCTAAATGCAAGGTTTTTTTTCCCACAGTCTGGGATATGTCAATGATTAACCAAAAAATGTATTTTGATGGATAGGAAATAGGAAACCAGGAGAATAGCATACACCCCACAGGGCGAACATGAGAAAATCTGGTGGAAAATAGTAAAAACTATGAAAAATTGTGGTTTTAAAGGGTTTCAATGGCGACATCTTTTTTTTAAAAGCCACGAATTTCCCCAGAGAGGCACAAGGGTTAAAAGAAGGAGCTGCAATGGTTTGTTTATGCCAGACCATACAGGACACCTTGTCAATGTGTAATGGAAACACAAATTTGTTCAGCGCATGGAAAGCTTCCCAATAAATGGTCAAAGTCTCTGCATTTTCAACATAACAGGATTTTTATTCCTCTTACAATCAGCAGTATTTGCATGATCCTGTAGACTCTAACACTTCTCTTGTCACTCCTTTGACTCAGGTTTCTTCATCTTCCTGTGGTTTGTGATGTCTTTGAGAAAGACCGGAAAACCAACGACTTACACCACTAGTGTAACACCCAGCACCAACAGCTGAGCCTCAACTCATCACACCCAGACGTTTTTTCTCTTCGTGTGTGTGTGTGTGTGTGTGTGTGTGTGTGTGTGTGTGTGTGTGTG